TGTGTGTGTGTGTGTGTTAAAATGGATCAGTGGCATAAACTCTGTGAATTTTCTCTCCTCCAACATGCACGTATGCCCTTTTGGTTCACATACCTTCGTGTTTACATGTCCTAAGGTTTACATGTCCTAAGGTTTACATGTCCTAAGGTTTACATGTCCTAAGGTTTACATGTCCTAAGGTTTACCTATCCCAGGGTATACACGTCTCAAGGTATACAGTCCTCCTCATGGGGGCTCAGACTTTAACAGTGCCTTGGTTTACATGTTTACGAGGGAGTCTTCAAGGACTGGTGGAAGTCACTCCAAACATCCCTCCAAGAACTCCCTCATGGTCCCTCCAAGACAGAGGAGGAGGAGGAGGAGGAAAGGGGGTGAATGGAGTCGCACGGGGAACTTCAATATTTGAGAAGGAAGTTTGGTAGTGAAGTTGGCCGGAGTCAGGAGGCTGGCGGCCGTCCTTCCTCCTCCCATCTCCTCCTCCTCCTCTCCCTCCTCCTCTGTCTTCTCCTCCTCTCCCTCCTCCTCCGTCTTCTCCTCCTCTCCCTCCTCCTCCGTCTTCTCCTCCTCTCCCTCCTCTCCTCCTCCGTCTTCTCCTCCTCTCCCCCTCCACCTCTCCTCCACCTCCCTCTCCTCCCTCCCTTCCCGTTCCCTCTGCTCCCTCTCCCCACCACCTCACCCTCTTTCAGCCCTGGGTTATGATCTTACTTCAGTTTAATGAAGTAACTTTTAGCAGTTGACGTCCAGTTTTTCAATATTAGCTGCCCACCCACTTCTGACCTGACTGAGACTCTGAATAAACGTAGTATGATTGACTATTTCATCTTCCCAAGGCTCTTGCGTTATGGCAACGCTTACATTGATTTTTTTTTGGGGGTGGAGGGATCACTTAGATCGTACCCCAGCTTATGTCACCCAATGATTAATCACCCGAACACTGCTGGGGGGTGAGGTCAGATTTTTTTCCGATGTTCCAGTGTGGTATAATGTATTGGTAAAAAATAAATGGCGATATTCATAGTCGAAATGTATGTTATCGAATGTAGTTGTTTGTTGACGGGTATTTTAATTATATGTATAACGAATATTCCCCCAATTTATCTCTTTTTCCTCGGCTGGCAGGTGGGCGGGGGGGCTCACCTGTGATGACGCAGGATACCCAGGGGGCTGAGTTGTTACATTTTCAATTGTGTTCTCTTGAAGACTGGGGTCATGTGTACGGCGAGGTACACACAATATCACAAAACGCTGCACATAACCGTAATAACAACTTAGTATCAGCCTGGAGGGTAATCCACAAGGAGGCACAAGATAATGTCTACTTAAACCAATAATATTCAATATTTGTATCATTTATTAAAATCCGTCACTTGTGTGTGGGCGGGAGTACAGTGTTGAGCTGTAGTGATGGTGCCCCTCCTGCATCACCCCTCGCCCTCCCACTGTATGACGTATGCATACACCGCATCCAGAATCTCTTAATACTGATACATGAAGCAGCAGTACTCAAAGTAATGAATATTGACTCGGGCTGCACCAAAGAGGACCCCTCCCCCCCCTCCTCTACTACGGTACTGTACTTTGGGTAATGAAACGACAAGAAGAAGAAACTACTCGTTGAGATTAAACCATTTAGTCAAATTCCCTTGCTGCAGCATTATGTGTTTGGGTATATAAATTGCTTAAAACTTTCCCTAAAATGTGCAGTTGTTGGGAAGTTTGTATTTCTTAAAGCTAGTGAGTGAGGAGAGGCGGTGCACTTCATCTCGGCCATGTGAGGTGATCGTCTGTTGCACGTTGCCGAGTAAACAACTTCCGGGAAGAGTTGCAACATTGGCATATTTGTAGTGACGTTTTCTTACACGGCCCTTCTGCCACCCACACACCAGGGAGCTCAACTCTGGCCAGAAATACTTCAGTTGCTTTAATATCTTATTAACCCCATGAGTACGATTATTCAACCCCCTGAGTACGATTATTTAACCCCCTGAGTACGATTATTCAACCCCCTGAGTACGATTATTTAACCCCCTGAGTACGATTATTCAACCCTGTGAGTACGATGAGTTCACCCATAGAGTACAATATCATCTTACTCAGGGAATAGTAATCGTATTGAAAGGGTTAAAACAATAGTACTCAAGGAGATTTAATCATTGTACCCAAGAAATTAAGTAAGTTTACTCAAAGTGATTAATCCAATGTACTTAAGGGATTAAATCGCACTCTAGGGCCAAGGCATTAAGTCATTATACACAACGGATTAATTCATTATACACAACGGATTAATTCATTATACACAACGGATTAAGTCATTATACTCGAGGGATTAAGTCAACATACTCGAGGGGTTCAGTCATCAGGGAGCTCCACCTACTCCCCTGCTTTTTACCATCCCTCATATCTAACACCGCTAAAGGGTCAACCTCCACCTTCCTCGCCAGGTTGAGTGTTACGTCAGATACACCGAGGTTAAAGTCAGTCTCGAGTTTATCGTGGATACAAGTTCTCAGCTGATCAAAGAAAGTTACATAACAGTAATCGGAATAAAATCACCTGTAGTTACGTAAAGATGAACCCAGACTCTGAAACAGGATGCGAGGTACAAGACAACACGAGAGAGAAGCTCATAGGATCTGGCTCTGACGACAACAGCTGTGAGATTGATGGAATAATTTAGTGGTACGAATCATAACTTGTGGTAACCAGAGACCAACTGTTTCTTAATAACTTGCAGATATATTGTACTCTAACCATCAAGTGTTATTGTATAGTAAAGTCGATAGAGAAATTTGGTAGTTCATACAAAATGGAGATTATGGTGACCCAGCACAAGGCAGGGTAGGGAAATTGTCCTTCCCCCTCCTCCCCTCCCGTCTCATCCCATTCCAGCCACTTCCCATCGCAGAAGCCGGCCAATCTATTATCCACTTTCAGTCGCCGGGTTACAGCAGACGCAGACTGAAGGATTAGCCCTCTAGTGGTGGGGGGGTATAACGAGACTGAAACCAACTCCAAATTAGGGATACCGCCTCACTGTACATCGTGTAGTGGCCGGGTGCCAAGTCGTCGTCTCGCACTTTTTTTATTCTTGAGTCGTTACTATCTAGAAGACGCCCCTGTGTCTGCCCTCCCCAGACATCGCTCCCCATGTCTGTTGTCTCCCCGGGTCGTCGCTAAAAAGACTTCGCCCCGTGTTTGTACCTTTAGAGTTCTCTCCCCATTCGTACCTAAGAGTTGTCGCTCCCCAGACGTCTTCCCATGTCTGTTACCTTTAAGTTGTCTCCCCAGGTCGTTGATCCCAAGACACCGCCCCCTTGTCTGTACCTTCTTGTCGTGGCCAACGAATCGTTACTGTCTTTTGCACCTTCGTCAGGTAAGTCATTAGTAAAGGTAATCAGACCAAAGAGATCTCCTGGTTAGAGGTTACGTGCACCGAGAGTCTTATGACCTGGCTCCAGTTTGGGGAGTTTGTAGCAGGGGTGGGGGGGGGATCTGTCCTTGGCTTAGAGGAGAGTTTCGAAGAATCATTTTCTGAAGTCTAATTAAAAAGTTGATTTAATGTCACGATATTGGAGTATTATCAGGATTATCGACGTCTTGTGGGTCTTATCTTGACCACCGCCTTGATTTTTTTAACGAACGTGGATGATAAAGTCAGGTTGGGATAGTGCGGCCAGACGTCAGCTGCGGGTCCTGGTTCTGAAGGTCACCTACGTCTACTATATCTCCAGTAACTTAGAAGTTGTGACGGCGCGCCTAACTGGCTTCCTTAAGCTAAAATTATAAAAGTGGCATCGAAATGACACCGAGACTCGACCGTGATAATATGCGTCATGTAATCCCCAGTTTTTGTATTGTTATTGGTACTTTATTTAGCCAGAAGACAGATACAGAGTGGACGATAAGAACATTGGCATGGCTGATCCTAGTGGCACCTGTTATACCTTGAGATAAATGTACAATATACAACACTCGGTATCATCTGGATTATTACATATAACGCGGTGTTGACAGATACATATTTAGGACCGAGAATTAACGGAGGAATGTTTGAGAATCCGAGTCTTGTCCTTCATGTGGTGGAGAGCGAGGAGGGGGTGGAGTGAAAGCTGTGGTAACTTAATAGTGCACGTATGGTTGTGGTTAATAGGGGAGGGAAGGAGAGGGAGTTGGAGTAACCTAAATGGAAGGAGACACAGTGTTACGCCTTCATCCTTGTTTACACAGAGTATATAAACCTAATTATCAAAGCTAGGGCTCCTTCATCAACACTGTGTACCCTGGCTCTGTAAATCTAATTAATAAAGTCGTCCTCTTCACCATTACGTCGACATTTACAAGAGGAAACCGAGAACAAGTTGCTTCAGAAAACACCTGATCAACCTGGCTTCACTGACGAGGTTGACCCACAGGTATAGCAAGCAACAACAGCCTGATTGATCGAGAACCTCGGCCGGACACGCTGGTCTTGGCTGGAGGTACAGAGGCAGGAAGAGCCCTCATTTAGCCAACGCCAGGTAGATACTCTAAGTTTCCCATCGTTTTAAGGACGTGTGGCAATATGTTAATGCTTCTCTCCACGTGTTGGGATCCGTGAGCTGGGGGAGTGTGTGCTGTGTATTGTATGGACGAAAATAAACCGACACAGTGTATGTTATGTCATGTCATGTATAAATAACACTATAGCAGTTATCTCTCGCTCACCTGTACTTAAGAGTGAGGTGGAGGTAGTGTACAGGAGACAGTTTTTACACCAAGTTAGAAATGTCTCCTCTAAGGTAAAGTTATTTATTTTACTGTACAGGTGATCTACTATACCTCTACCTTACCCTACCCTACCTTACCCTACCTTACCTTACCTTACCTTACAGTATTTACCTATAACTGACTCCCCTTAAATATATATATATATAGTGTAAACTGTGTATTAATTCCTTCTCTCTCTGTGTCTTTGCAGGTAAGAAGGCGGGAGGAAGCCATGACACCTGGAGTAACTATACCTGTGTGTGCTGATGATGGCTGTGAGTATTTGGTTCTTGTAGAGGAACATTTATGCCCCCCCACCCCACATACCTTGAAGTGATGGTTATGTGGGTGGGTGGGTGGGTGGGTGGGTCTTGTGTGTGGGTGAAGGTGAACAGGAGGCCAACGTGTTTGAACCCCACCCCACCCTAACCCCACCCCGGGAAAATAAGACACTATGGTGATTAGCTGCAACGGGTCTGAGCACAGGTTGTTGTGGTCTCTGAAATTGTTGGTTTGTGTGGTATTGTTTTGTGGAGGTGTAGGTCAGGTGTGGAGGTGTAGGTCAGGTGTGGAGGTGTAGGTCTGGTGTGGAGGTGTTGGTCAGGTGTGGAGGTGTTGGTCAGGTGTGGAGGTGTAGGCCAGGTGAGGAGGTGTAGATCAGGTGAGGAGGTGTTGGTCAGGTGTGGAGGTGTTGGTCAGGTGTGAGTGTTTTGGTGTTACGTCAACCTAACCCCCCATCCCCCTCCCCCACCACCACTCTAAGCATTGTGGGTAAGAGTGGCTGTCAGGACACGCCTCCAATACCTCTGACCTCCAGTGTTGTGTTCCTCCAGTGGTGCTCTTACAGGTAACCTCTCCTCTCCTCACCTCTCCTCGCCTCTTTACGGCTAACCTCTCCTCTCCTCCTTACAGCTAACCTCTCCTCGCCTCCCAGCTAACCTCTCCTCGCCTCCTTACAGCCAACCCTCCTCGCCTCCTTACAGCCTAACCTCCTCCTCCCACAGCCAACCTCCTCCTTACAGCTAACCTCTCCTCGCCTCCTTACAGCTAACCTCTCCTCGCCTCGTTCCAGGTAACCTCTCTACCCCAGCATTACTTCTTTCCCTCACCCACCTACCTACCTACCTTTCTTACCTAACCCAGTTTTTATCAATTTTCCCTCTCCTTCGTCTTTCTCCTTCCCCACCCTTCCTCCCCTCCTCTCCCCACCCTTCCTCCCCTTACGGATTTCCAATAACCTGTCCAGAATGGTTAAGGCTTTTCTCGCCACCTTCTGACACTCACAAATCAGCCCATTATTTTAAAGGTTGCAAGTCCCGCCGGCAACCAACCAGGTAGGTTGTGTGTGTGTGTGTGTGTGTGTGTGGAAGACAAGAAATGAACGGAAGAGAGGAACTGAGGTAAGAGAGGGAGATGGAGAGAGTAGATATGAAAGTGAGGGTAAATGAGAGAAGGGGAGTGACGAAATACAGAAAAACTACAGATGATGAAAGAGAGAGAGAGAGAGAGAGAGAGAGAGAGAGAGAGAGAGAGAGAGAGAGGTAGGTTAGGGGACTGAACTAAAAGACGAAGGCAGAGTGGGGGTAGAGGAGATGAAGAGGGGTGAGGGAAGTGGACCTTAATGAGGGAGGGTAGAGTATGCTGTGGGGATGAGGGGAGAGTGAGGTGAAGGGAGATTAAATGAGGAAGAATGAGGGAGGAGAGGAAAGGGTGATGGGGGAGCAGAGGGGAGATGAGAGTAAGTGTTGTGTGGACGAGGGGAGAGTGAGGGGAGAGTGAAGGAGCTGCTGTGTGGGGGAAGGAAGGGCTAATATCAAAGGTCATGGTGGGAGGCTGCCTGGGAGACCTTCTGCGGCAGGAGGGGGGTGGTGGTGGTGGTGAGGCGACCCTACTGCTGCCTTCACCTCCTCCACACCGATTCCTTCGCCCCACCACTACCTCCCTACCGTCTCCCCACACCACCCTCTCACCCCCCTCCCAACACACACCCACACAGTCTTCCATATTATCTCCCTGTATTCATTTATACAACACATGGTAATGGGTGTCCCAGTGTACTCATCACAGGTGGTGAGTTGCCCGGCCCCCACGCGGTCGTCGTGTTGTGTGACTGATGTATACATTTTCAGCCATGTGTGTTGAATAGTTTTTGGGGAGTCATTCATCCTCATGATGTGTACACACTTTGTTGTGTGTAAACTTGTTAAATTTATGTGCATTAATTGTGTCTGTTGACTCGTATTGCGTATATATATAATGTGAGTATTTCCTTATGTGTGTGTGTGTGTTTAGGTAAATATTTGCGTATGTATAAAGAAGACGCTAACTCGTGAGGTAAATAGCCTAGGTAATCCGCATCTGGCTCACCTAAGACAGTTATAGTGGCCACAAACTTAACCTGTGGTGATGGAGCAACACGGCTCACTGAACACCAAGAGACGAGTCTAAGTTACGTCCTGGAGGAGGGAGGCCGTGTGACCCTCCCTCGTTATAGTAATCCTCTCGAGTATCCCTGGTAGACTCACAACCTCACGCCTCGCCCCGCGGTAATGACAGGAGGAGACGCTGCCGGGGTTTGTCATAATCTCCCACGCCACCCGCGACACATGACTGCCTCCTCCTGCCCCTCCCACGTACCCTCCCACCCCATGACTCACAGCCTCACTGGGGCTTAAATATGATGTAGGCATTGTAGGGTGTTGTAAACAAGGTGAGATGGGTTGTACTAGCTCAATAGGTGAGGGGAGGTGGGGGGTAGGGATGAAGGGGCGCATGTTTAGGGCTGAGCCAGACACAAACAGAAGGACTATGTATGTATGTATGTATATATGTATGTATGTATGTATGTATGTATGTATGTTTTGATCATTTACTCCTTTCATTATCTCATACCTTGGCAGTTACACCGGTATATATCCACTAGAGAGACTGGTTATATAATTGTGAGGGAAGACAAAAAAATAATAAGCCGTCTCATATTCTCTTCACTCTTTACTGCCTCTTGTCTCCCACGCGCCCAGAGTGACACCTCCGGCTCTCTCTCTCTCTCTCTCTCTCTCTCTCTCTCTCTCTCTCTCGTTCGTTAGATTTATTATTATTTTTGTCCGATGTTTTAAAGATAAAGTTGGTTATGATGGATGAGCTTGTACGTTTACCATTCCTTCCTTCCTTCCTTCCTTCCTTTCATTCATTCATTCTTTCTTCCTTTATTTCTTTCATTCTTCCACCTTTCCTTCCTTCCCCCATTCTTCCTTCCTTCCCCCATCCATCCTTCCTTCCTTTCCTCCATCCATCCTTCCTTCCTTCCTTCCTTTCTTCCTTCCTTCATTCATTCATTCATTCTGTCCATCCTTCCTTTCATTCTTTCCTCCATCCTCCCTTTTATTCTTTCCTCCATCCATCCAACCATCCTTCCTCTCTCCCTCCCTCCCTCCCTCCCTCCCTCCCTCCCTTTCATTTTTTCCTCCATCCATCCATGAATGTTTCCCATCCCATCTTCTGAGAATAAAAGTACATTTACAATGGCGGTGCACTGAAGCAGAAAAGTGTGTGTGCGCGCGCGCGGGGGGGAGAAAGAGTTACTACACCTTAATGGCAAAGATTCACTCATGATTCACCCTCCCCCTTGAGTACGTCGAATTAACCTCTTGAGTACGATGAATTAATCCTTAGAGTACAATATCATCTAGTTTAAGCGATTAAGTCAACATTTTCAAAGACTTCAGGCGTCGAGTGTCTTCAAGGGGTTAAGACATTGTACTCAGTGTGTTGGGTCGTACTCAAAGGGATAATTATAACCAGTAGTACAATTAACCTATCATCAAGACTGTACATTTTCTTTCCTTATTCCTTTAACACACAATAATTACTGTACGTGAAGATGTATTGATAAAGTACATTAAGATATTACCATTACAAGCTTTGTCCTTTTGTAAACTAGTTAATTCAGGAGGAAATTGTAATCCCTTAGCGACACGAATTCTCTTTGTATATCCCAAACTGGTGAGCAGAGAGCGTGTTCCCATCATCTCCGAATTTACTGCTGAAAGAAAAGCCCCTTGAGGGAGTTTTGTTGTCTTCGATCCATTTTTGTATACCTCTAAAAGCTTTACCTTAAGACAAAAGTTGTTGGGGGAGTTGTTAAAGAGACTAATGAGGTGCGGGAGGACAGGTGGAGGGCCCTTGGCAGGTGCTCAACCGCTAAGAGCTCACCTGGAGGGCCTTAATGAGCTCTGGTGAGAGTCGGGTAACACAACTTGATGCTCCCCTCCTATCCCTTCTCTTCTGACCCATTTTTCCATATCCTCCTACTGCTGCTGTTATTAATATTACTTTTGTTATTTCTACGGTCACTGTTACTCTTCTACTGCTTCTGTTACTACTACTACTACTACTTTTTTTTAACGTGGCCTCCAGCCTCCCCTTACTACTACTACTACTACTACTACTACTACTACGGTCTCTCCTACTTCTGCTGCTTCTGGTATTTATCCTTTCACTCTATCGCTGTTGCTCTCTTGCCCTCTCTACTCCCATGACTGCTGTGCCTTCTGCTTCTGCCTCCGTGGTTGTTGCTGTGTCTGCTCCTGCTGTTCCTTCCACCTTCTGCTGCAGCTGTTGGCTTCTCCGCAGCTCTTGTGATCATAGTTTGGGTATTGCCTCTGTTTTCTTCAAATTGCCTTTCGAAAGCTAACCCACTTTATCACCTTTACTGGAGATGCAGAGGCGCTCAGTCTTTGCTGTCCTCTCCATCACGGGATTTCTTTGACGATAGCTTGGTGGGGTGTGAGGAGGGGGCGTGTGTTGGAGGTATGAGGTGGAGGGGGCGTGTGGTGTGGGTGTGAGGAGGGGGCGTGTGTTGGAGGTGTGAGGTGGAGGGGGCGTGTGGTGTGGGTGTGAGGAGGGGGCGTGTGGTGGACGTGTGTGTGTGTGTAGAGAAGAAGGAATAATCGTGGTGTGTCTATAGGCATCGTGAGGCTGCAGGGGAGAGCGGCACTGCACCACGGTACCAATGGAGTGACCACTGGACACCACTCATCCTGTTGAGTAATCCTAACTTATTTATCATCAATTCTACTTAAAAATAAGATGAATGACAATGAATAACCACGACAAAGTTTACAGTAGAAAGGAAAAGTGAGACAATGGGGCAATGTTTGGGTGATGTAGGGAGAGATATGGCGTGAAGTGGGTGAACTACTTGTTGTGTAAACGACCAAGTGAAGTGAAGGTTGAGATGCGTATTTTACTTTCACCATTACCACTATCATTATCA